ATTAAGACCAAAAGTGTTTATCTTCACGAAAATGAGAGTACACTACACTCTGGCCACCTGAAGGAACGGAGCAATACACCATGGGCCTTGAAAATGTCAACACCAGCTACAGTATTCACCAAAACACGTTCACTGGCTTCCCACTCTGACACACAATACCTTTGACACACAAACACTGACTGACCATTTCCTAATTCAACCGTTTGGACATACTGGCATCTACCACGTGACAGAATGACTTCCCCTGATTGGTCGAGCATGATTACGTGGTGTTAACGTAAGTAAACAATGTACCCCTTGAAAATGTCACCAAAATAACTCGAAAACTAAACAAATTTTATACTTTATCATCCCATATAAAAATCATTTACTATACCGTATAATAAATTAATTACCTATAATGTCCAACAGGCAGAGGGTCCGTAGTTCTACAGTAGTTTGCCCTCTGATGGTCTAAAGGAAAATATTGCAGCAGAAAGCGAGATGAAACGAACCCAGATCAGTTTATACCACGACCCGGTGTTAATGGGTATAGGAAAACGTAAAGTAATCAGGTAGAATGAATAAAGGAGAGAGAGAGAGAGGGAGAGAGAGAGGGGGGGGATGACTAAATGATGAACAGAGAGACAGAGAGAAAGGAATACCTGAGGGAACGAGAGAGAGAGAGACAGGAAAAAAGGTGATAAATGAAGGACAAAGTGAATCAGGGGAAAGGGAAAGAGATAGATAGATAGAGAGAAAGAGAGAGAGAGAGAGAGAGAGAGACAGAGTGGATAGGGTAAATAAGATAAATATAGAGAATGAAGAACGGTGAAGATGAATCACGAGGTGAGAAAATAGAGACAGATAACAAAGGGAAGAGAAAAAGGTAGAGAGAAGATGAAGATGGAAGAGCAAGAGAGAATAAAAATGGACAATGAAAAGGGAAATACAAAATGAAAAAATAATGACAAAATAGATTAAACGAAATAAGAGCACATGAATAAATAATAATAAAAATAGACAATAAAAGATAAAGATAGAGAAATATATTAAGAAGAATAAGAAGAGTTAAATAAGACATAATAAAAGAATGAAAATAGTGAAAATATTAAATACAAAATTAAATCAATATCCATAAGAAAAATAAATGGAATAAAGGCAGGAAAAATTAAACAAATGAGAATAAATAAGGAATAACAATAAAAATAGGAATAAAAATAATGAAAAACGACAAATCTAATAAAAATAAAACCAGGAAAAACATAATAAAAACAGAAGAGAATAAACAAAAAGAAACGAAGAAAAGCTTAAGATAATTACAGAACAGATAAAGATGAATAAGCAAAGGGGGAGAAAAAAGACGAAAATACAGCCAATGATAAAAGAGAAAGAGATAAAGAGAGGGATGATGATGATTGATAAACCAAGTGAGAAGAAATATGAGATAGGGGAACCGTAACTAATAGGTAGAGGGGAGGAGATAACAACTGGGAGATAATTGAGAGATAGGAAAAGAAATGGAAGAATTGGTGGTGATAGTTTGGTGTAGATGATGGAGGGAGAGAGAGAGAGAGAGAGAGAGAGAGAAGGTCTCTCTCTCTCTCTCTCTCTCCCTCTCTCTCTCTCTCTTTCTCTCTCTCTCTCACCAAAGTATAAGAGACAAAACTCGACCGTAATTACTCATGTCGGTAGTACCTTTTTCCTTTCTCACGGTGTAAGTCTGATTGTGAGTTTGCCGTTTAACACTTGAGCTGGGAAGTTTAGGGAGGCGGACTGTCACTCGCTGGAAAATACGAGTTAATTCCTGGAGCGAGTTGGGTGGGGGGTGGGTTGGGTGGGTGGGGGTGGGGGGTGGGGGATTGTGTGGTGTTTGTGTTTTGAAGAAATTTTTTTGTTGATTTATTTACGTCAATGATGATGAAAAATATGAAGAAATATAAAATGTAAAGAAAATTGTATATAATATCGATGTATTAAAGACAAATAAAAAAAATGCATAGGCGTGAGGCGGGGCTAAGGGGCGGGGCTAAGGGGTGGGGCTAAGGGGCGGGGTTAAGGGGCGGGGCTAAGGGGCAGGGCTAAGGGGCGGGGCTAAGGGGTGGGGTTAATCTTCAGGTGTTCCCATGCTTAAAATAACACAATTATACCCTCATACGTAATATAACAACCCTCAGTTAAGTCAAGACAGGCGGAAAATGAGCTAACTAACCACAATCACAAAAAATAGCAAACTTTGCCCACAACTTCACAACTTTTCTTACAAGACGCCACCACAACACGACACGGAGTTAACTCAAGTCCTTCCACTAAATTTACAGTAAGTTGTATACGAGGGATGTTTGTATGTACTTTGTTGAACAGTTGCATGGTCTGAGTAGTGAATATTGTCATCGTTGCAACATTGTCTGCAATATCGTGGCGGTTTGGTTAGATTAGGATAGTTTCGTTTTGGTTTGGCTAGGTTAGATTGGGTTAAGTTAGGCTAGATTAGGGTAGATTATATTGGATTAACATTAAATTAGGTTAGCGTTCAAGTGAAATTCGGTTAGTGTTAGATTAGGTTAAATTAGGTTCGGTTAAATTAGGTTAAGTTTGCGTGTTCCTTGGTACAATTCATGATTTAGTCACCAACAGACCTAGTGACAGTGGTGGAGCGAACAGCCTTGGTCCTGATGGCCGCTGGTCGAACCGTAATCACTGTAGGTCGTCTTTTGTTTTATATATAGATAGATTATGAAGGGGTTGGGAGAGTGAGGTGAGTGGGGAGGAGAGAGGAAGAATGAGTGAGGTGAGTGGGGAGGAGAGAGGAAGAATGAGAGTGAGGTGAGTGGGGAGGAGAGAGGAAGGAGGAGAGTGAGGTGAGTGGGGAGGAGAGAGGAAGAAGTAGGAGAGTGAGGAGAGAGGAAAAATGAGTGAGGTGAGTGGGGATGATGCGTGGATTGGTATAGTACGTGAGAGAGAATCGGTTCAATGTATCAAACCATAATTTATAACCCCACACATCAAACACTTAACACATATTGCATTTTAACAGACAGACACAGACCAGATACTGTACTTAGAACCTACAAGTAGACTCGAGTATAAAACTACAGGTACAGGTATTGTCTTAAGAGGGACTGGTGTAAAATGTTATGGTTTGTTCGATGCAAGAAATTTACTTAGATTACAAACGCAGGTTGAGGATCAGGTGTTAAGTACGGGTGTGATAATTCTCTTAATTGCTTAGAAGGAATTCACTTATCAAATGCACCGCCAAAATGCTTCACTGGTGTCATGCGTGTCAAATGAACCTTGACATTATCTCAACAGGCTTCAATAATTAATAGTTCCAGACGAAGGATTCATGATATATCGAGGCAGTGTGAAGCCACGGGACACACAAGAACTAATCTATTTAACATGTACTTTAAAAGAGAACATTCCAATGGTGACTCTGAACAGAATAGATATTCACCTCGACTAACCTTCAGGGGGTAATATCACTGCAGTCGTGAATTGTTGACACGAGTAATTTCAGATCATGCAAGGTCTGGTGAGATCAGGTAATAGTAGTAATAAAAAAAAATCACCTCCAGGTATATTAAAAGAAACTTAACAGACAATCCAAGTATACAATAATTTATAAACAAAGTAAAAAAAGATAAATCTATCTATTTATATTTTTTATAGGGGGGGTAACGAGTTAGGGTGAAATAGCAATTACCGTATGATATTGTTTTGGGTTGGGACTCGAGCAGTGATAATGGCAGAACTTTAATAGTTGTGAAATAGCGATTACCAGCACAGTATATAACGGGTTTAACTGAAATTATTGTAGGTGGTTAAATTCGTCCTCTTGACCCTGTTCTCGTGGAGCTGTCCTCGCTGTGGGGGGGAGGGGGTGTAAGGAGGGAGAGAGAACTGTACGTAGGAATCACTGGAGCGTATTATTGTCATGTGCTGTTGATGGATTGAGAGGGGACAGGGCTAGGTCAAGTAGGTTAGCCATTCTCTAGGTAACACCACTTACATTCTTCACGCTGGAAGACCTCGTAATAGGAAGCCAAGTGGCGTCATCTCTCGGCCAAAGTTAGAACCCGTCTCAGATTTTCTCCCCAGGACAGCAGTTTCCGAGCCACTAAATGTCCAAGACAGTGTTATGGCCTCCAGGACGATCACAACTCATCGTCCCGTGATAAAATAAAAGCTCGGAGCCATAAAGAAAATTCAGTGGAAATTACAACATGGAGGAACAAGCGGTGGTGTAAATCTGACAAAGACAAGATTGTCTTGCGAGCTGGGGCCATTTTGGTCCCTCGATTACCGTGTGGGGTTTGTGACGCGGTGGGAGTTACGAGTTATTGGATTACTCCCTACTCATCCTAACAACTCCCACCACACCAACGACCCCCATACCCAGCTACACCCTTTCCACCCCTCTCCCATACTAACACTACCAAGATAAAACAACCAATACCCATCTTCAGGATACCCATAATATATATACATCGGCCACGACTGTCGATACGTGATGAGAATATCAGGTCTGTCACGCCGAGTCGCAGTTCACACCGCTGTTAATGTGAACATGAAGCGTGTTGGCTGTTATTAGTGACCAGCCAGGCGCATGTTTTCAGCGTTGAAGTACGATGTGAACAGAAACAATACAAGTTTAAATTCCGATCCATTTCATTACGGTACGATAACAATACCCGTCATGTACCAAAGGTAATTTACTCCCTCTGACAACCTCTTTGGGGCAGTTATTGTCGATTGTCTTGCATTATTCCTTGTGCTACAAGCAAACATCTCGAAGACGTAAGTTGGACATAATCAAAATGTAGTTAATAGGCGAAGTTCCTTAAACTATAACTTAATTAAGCATTTTCTTTAATCATTTTATCTAGAATTCTCTCTCGTTATCTTCGATAATATCCACGACGAGACACTGGATGAATTTATCAGACTTCATCTCGTAGTCTTAAAAATTCGCATTTCATAAAAGGTCCCACAATAGGTTAGATTAAAGAGCTGGATCAATTTACACATTTATTAAGGATAATATACAAGTGACAAGATAAGAGCCGAAGGTAGTGATCAAGGATAATAGGCAAGTGATAAGATTAGTGATACCCGAAGGTGGTAGACGTGGTGGTGCTGGTGACGAACTCTGTGGTGGTAGAGATGATCTCCTGCACCAGCTCTTGTGTGGAGTAATCCGCCACGGTCACCACCTGTCGAGGATTTATATTGAATTAGTCAAAGTTGTATACCCGATAAGTCTTTACACAACCCTCCGAGATTACCACTACACCAGCACAACAAAGGATAAAGGCCATGAGAACCACGAAATTTCCTACATCACCCATCGTAGCCACCTATTGAGATATTGAACTACACTCCATTCAATTACCTGCAGTAGTTTAATAATGGAAAGTAAACAACTGGTATACGAGACACCTCAAAAGACTGACCAGGTGTTCGAGGGAGACGTGGGTGATGCTCTGCCAGTACTCAAGGATGGTAGTGGTGGTGTGGAAGCTGGTGTACACAGACACGTGGGTCCTGACGGGAACTACTGCTACCGTCGCTGTCACAATGTCGACCTGTGAAGAATTAGTGTGCTGTAACAGCAGTCTACCGACGCCGAAATTTTGAGGTTTAAAATTTCACAAGGAAACCCTAATTACTTTACATCTGTGAAAAATGTAAAGGCACTAATATCCGATAGGGAGTTGTAGAATGCAAAACCAGTAGGTCAAGTGGTTATAGCTACTCCTTATAAAAGACTTACGAAGCAATTTACTATAGCCTTACCGGGGTGGAGGTGACCCTCACTACAGAGGTCCGGGTGTTGGGGTCTGATGACACAAAGTCCCAGTCGGTAGTGTACTGGGTGACAGGGAGCACTACGGTGGTCTGGTCAGTGATCCACACATCAGAAGTGGAAGTCTCCCTCAGCGTGTGGGTCTTCGTAACCTGGGGAATATGAGGAATTATCAACCACCTTGTTTATCAAGCCAAACTTTCCTGACCTGGTGTAGACAGACCACTCTACATGTTAAGGATCCACCTCAGCCATATTAGCATCGAGCTTCCTCAATAAAATTCACAAGTCTGCATCAGTTACTTACGGTCTCGTAAACGGTTTGGGTAATGATCGTCACAGGGACGTACCGGTGATCGTCGTAAACTTGGCATTGTACCTGCAACAGTGGATAGCATTAAACTTCAAAACGACGAAACCAAGTAATCTTTCCACCTCAGCACTAAACGATAAGAGCATTTAAATTAGCTAGTACAGTCAAACGATAAATTAAACAGTTTCATTACGCACTCCAGCATTTAGTTTGAATCTAGTTAATTACTAAATATTAACTACATAAAAGATAAACATATTAGCCAAGTTACTTCCATAAACCAGAAGACGATACACTAAACTCACTATACAATTTTTAAAGCCAACGTGGACTCTATTACACAAACCACGGGAACTACAGTACACCCACCTTAGCCAGGGACGCCGCCAGTAGAAGGTATAATACACACAGACCCATCTAGAACACAAAACCTTTATAAACATCATTTATATTTGAAAATTGTCAAGAGTCAAATTTTATAAATCAAGACCACCACTCAACAAATTAAATTTAAGATATATATAACAAACTAAATAAAATAAAAGCTCATAAGACAAACCTTCACTTTAAGGTTTCACTAGTCAACGTTAAACAGGACTCAGGAACCACAATGACACCTCTTCCACGGCCGCGTCCGTATTTATACCTTCCTCACCCGGAGAACCTTCCAACCCCCTGACGCGACTCTGGTTTCGTCTTCCTCAACAGATTTAACTTTTATTCGTTAATTAATTTCTTTACCTTTATAATAATGAATGAATAATATATAATAAATGTAAATATATGTACCTGAACCTTAACCTTCATTTTTATTAAAAACTATAGTTAGATATTTGATTATAATAAATAACTTGACTGTTCGAGCACCGTAAGGGACAAGGGTCTTGATGGTAGTACTACCTCAACACTTGTTTACGTCCATTCGATAATTTAATGTTTTTTCCTTCATTAAATACGAACATAAAGCTAACACAATTATCAACAATATTTGTTTAACACTTCATCTGCTTCTTCTTCTCTCTTCCTCTTCTTCGTAATCATTCATAGAGGAATATACATCACACTGCCCGCTCCATGAATCTTCACCAGTACCCTCTATTCACCATTAATTCTCTACATAAACTAATATGACCTGGAAGACATGTAAGAGTATTGGTAGCTAAGTAAATATCACATTACCTTTATGTATTTACAATTAATTAAAGTATTAATTAAAATTTTACCTAATTAATTGTTAAAAATATGAAAGGCAGTTGTATTTCGTCGTTATATTATGATTTAGCCCTTTAAGTATGATGACCCCTTGAGTATGATGACTTGACCCCTTGAATATGATGACCCCTTGAGTATTATGACTTGACCCCTTGAGTATGATGACTTGACCCCTTGAGTATGATGATTTAAGCCCTTGAGTATGATGATTTAACCACCTTGAGTATGATGACTTGACCCCTTGAGTATGATGACTTGACCTCTTGAGTATGATGATTTGACCTCTTGAGAACGACGACTTAACCCCTGGAGTACGATGACTTAAGCCTTTAACTATGATTATTTAACCCCTTGAATATGATGACTTGAACTCTTGAGTACGATGATTTAACCCTTGGAGTATGATTTCTTAAACTTTTAAGTAGGACAGCTTGAACCCTTCAGTAAGCGGATTTAACCCCTTGAGAGTGATGAGTTAACTCTTTTGAGTACAATAACATGAACCCTTTAACAACATGATTTAGCACCTTGAATATGATGACTTAAGCCTTTAAGTATGATAACCCTTACAGTACAATGATTTAATCATAAGCCTAGCAACTCATTAGGGGCAGTGCAGATACAGTATACTGTCTATTAAACCTTCGATACATAACATGGCCAGAACAGCATACGACCACTTTCTCTCCTCAACTGTAAAATTAGGTATCCATTCATAGCTGGATGACCTTGGGGTGCCCCGGGATAACATAAGAACATAAGAATAGAGGAAACTGCGGCGGGCCTTTTGGCCCATACTGGGCAGTCCCATTTACACCCAACCCCTATTGCTCATATGAGCATCCAACCTTTGTTTGAAGCTATCCAGCGTATTCGAGTCAATGATGATATTTGGTAATTTGTTCCATTCATCCACTACTCTGTTACCAAACCGGTGTTTACCTATTTCGCGCCTAAATCTAAATTTGTCTAATTTAAAACCGTTGTTACGAGTTCGCTCCTGGTTGGATAGTTTGAGTACCTTTGTAATGTCACCTTTGTTCAGCCCTGACTTCCATTTATACACCTCTATCATATCGCCCTTCACTCTACGTCCCTCGAGGGAGTGCAAATTAAGATGCTTTAACCTGTCTCTGTACTCAAGGTTCCTAATGCCCAAAGGACAGGTGTGTCAAGGTGAGGCCTATTAGTGGTCACCACCTGTTGTCGGCAGCTCTAAGACTGTTTTTTTGTTTCACTGTCACCCCAGCCTTATACGACATTATATTCGAGAGTTGTTGTGGATCACCTGAAGATTGATCCCCACCAGCTTATTTCACCTGAAGTCACACCAGTTCATTTCACTTGAAGATTCATCCCCCAGCTTATTTCACCTGAAGTCGCCACCAGCTTATTTCACCTTACGATTCATCCCCCAGCTTATTTAACCTGAAGATTGATCCCCCATCTTATTTCACCTGGTCACCCAGTTTATTTCACATGAGTCGACCCCGCCACCTTATTTCACGTAATAACGTCATCCCCCCCAGCTTATTTCACCTGAAGTTTAACCCAGGCCAACTTTTTTCACTTCTCATTCACCTGAAAATTAATCTCCCAAATGCTACCTTAGGGGTGGGGGGGTGGGTTAGTTTAGCTAAGCTTTAGATGACGTTTATTCAGGTGAAATATGACAAATCTCCAGGTAATTGATCAGTAAACAAGTTAAGCGACTGGAAAAACCCGACCTGGAGGCTTCAAGACACGTAAGAACGCTTAGATAATTTGTTTATGCTGTTTGTGAACACCTGTGGATTTAAGACCAGTCAAGATTATCCCACCTCACGAGGTAATAATTATAGTGTAGGTTTATACGGATTTATTATATGTTGCACGTATTGAGTTATGTATTACCGTATGGTTAAGCGACAATGGTTTTTGCGGTCAGTTTCCCTCTTACACCAGTAGTCAAAGCCGACCTCAATGCTTCGAGTCCAGCTTTCTCCGATCTTGCACGCTATAAATGCCCAATAACATCTGCATCACTTAACCAGGACAGCTCTCACGTGGGTTTCAAGTTAGACCTTCACGAACCATAACATTCATCAAATACGTTTATAGACAACACTTCATCACAGGAATCCCCTAGACGTGTTATAGAAGGGTTGGTGAAAGCCGCCTTCAATTAGGAACTAAATGTAGCCAAGGGTAAATTTACACAGCAAGATCAAAGTACCTTCCTGCCGCCCCCGAGTATTTTGGGTGTAGCTTACTAATAAAGAACCACTTTAACAGTTCCGATAAACCAACTGAACGTACAAGCAGTTTAAAAGTTCGGAAATACACCGGGTTGTATGAATACTTCGGTCAGTCTAGAACCTTTACCTGCAGAACAATTTTAAATTAACCAAGTTACTTCTGTGTATAACAGACATAACATAGTCCAGGATAAGAGACGAAAAGGTTACTAAATTAGATATTTATTGAAAAATTTACATCAAATTCAGGTGGTAAACTTCTGGGTAATCTTACAGCCTTATTTTACATAAATTACAATTTTAAAAACCATTACTACGCTACAGACGACACAGCAATGCAGTATATTACAGCAACTAATAGTGGTTGTAGACGGCGGGAACGAAGACTGTGTCCGTGATGGTGTGGAAGTCTGTGAAGGTGGTCCTCTGTGTGTTGATGATGGTGCGGACCAGCGTGGAGGTGTAGGTCAGCCTGCCGGAGTCAACAACAATGATAATCCTTTTAATAGTTCCGACGATTATAAATTATAGGCCAAAATAGTTAATACTAACCCAAGTTCACCTTACTAAACCTACAGTAGAAGTTAAAACTATCCAAGTTAAGTTTTCAATGGGGTTTTAGCCAAAAAGAAAAAATTCGTACCCAACATTAATGTCGTTTAAAATCTTTGACTTAACCTTCCTACATAGGGGAAGTTGCTCATAATGAACAGGTTTAAACTAGGCACTACAGGTCTTAATGGAACGGCTCCACCACCCGGGTTTATTTACTCCTACGCAGATATAATTTAGATGTGGAATCTACTTACGTCTGTGTGACGAGGGTGGTGACGGTGGTCTGACGGATGACGTAGGAGGTGTGGGTGATGGTGACGTGGTCTACCGCAACCTCAGTCACCAGCCTGAAGTCAGACTTAACACAAGTGACGGTGACCGAAGTGGGCCTGACAACTACCGTGGTCTGGAGGGCGACGCGGTCGTCGACGGGAGTTTGTACCACCTGTAGACAACAACAACATTAGTGGCCACCAATGGGGTCAACTTCCGCTCCATCACTGCCTATATGGCTACATTTAACGTTATATTAACAACCGATGCTATAGTATTATACGACACCCATTACATTATGAACAAGTCTACCAGAGCTAGTTTAACGTTATATCAATAGCACTTGTTATAGTTATATCAACCATAGTTAATGGTGCTAGTATTGTTCAACCTGCACTTAATTACATGGCGATCTACACCAACTTACCGCGTGTGTCCCGACCGTGATGGTCTGTACTCTGAGGTCAGTCAGGGTCACCGCCACGCTGTGGAAGGCCAGGTCAGTCAAGGTCACGAACCTGTCCACTGTGACAGTCTGGGTGACAGTGGGCGTGATTGAGGCTTCCACCCGTCTGACCTGACCACTGCCGACACCCGAGCCGAAGGCCGGACCACCGCCGACACCCGAGCCGAAGGCCGGACCACCGCCGACACCCGAGCCGAAGGCCGGACCACCGCCGACACCCGAGCCGAAGGCCGGACCACCGCCGACACCCGAGCCGAAGGCCGGACCACCGCCGACACCCGAGCCGAAGGCCGGACCACCGCCGACACCTTGATCAGGAGTATCAGTCTGACCACCTTTGCCCACTCCGTTAACTCTGTTGCCAAAGGTCGTGGGTCCACCATTAACGGTTCCAATAACAATCGGGCCGGCAGACCCACCACTGCTATCTCTACCGCTTCCTCCTGTAGCCTGGCCTTCGGCACTGCTCACAGTGCCACGCCCACTTTTGGCGAGTGTGTTAGTTCCCGAACGGTCACCGCCACCCACACCAGCAGATGACCCTATTTTAGCGTTTCTTGACCTAGCGCCACTGCCTGCTTCACCATCCAAGATACTACCAATGTTCTGGAACAAAACTTTGTGTCGGGAACAAAAAGTTTTAATTATGTAGATTGTCAAATTCCATTAGATTAATTTTATACTAATTTTCAGCATTTATCATGTTAATTATAGGGTTAAGGAAATTAAATAATTATTTGCGATATTTGTCTTCGCACGTTTAAGTATTACAAACTCAATATTCAGGTTTGCATAGAACACCTGGAAACACCATGTTGCTATTGAACATTAATTACACTAAACCAACTTTATGGAAAAGCCTACAGTGTAAACTCACCTGACGTTTACCTGGTAGGCTAGCCAGACCTGCCCAGGTGTACACCGTCAGCACCACCAACACCAGGAATAGCGTCACACGAATCATGTCTGAAAATACTAATTTAGATCAATGGATGACCAAGACTTGTATTAGGTATAGCGATGCCCTGTAACCAACACTAGTTATTCTCTAGACTAGACCAGTGTAGATACCAAGACCCATTTCATAACAAGTTTAGCTTAACACATTTTCATCTAGTATTAACAACTAGAATCAACTAAAGGTTAGTGGAACATTTACAAGACTCCCGAATTACACAAGATACTTTACAACCACAGCAGACAATAACAAAAATCCCCCAAAATTTAATACTTAAAACGCTAAGTAAAAAGGAAAAATATACATAAACCGCACTAAACAAATAACAATATATTAAAGATAATCTCTCTCTCACACAACAAACACCACTTACTTCTTCTTAAAACACAGTAAAAATACACACAACAGTGTTAAGTATGTGTGTGTGCGTCGTGTCAGCAGGCGAGGAGCACAGTAAGTCTCCTAGTCTTACCACCCTACCTCATCACCTCCCTCACCTGGCCTCCCCCAACACAAACAACAGCAACAACCCCAAAAGCCTTAATTCTCACTCAATCATTTCCTTAACCCACAAATCTACTCCATTTATCACAATCCTCAAGACACCTTACCCTCATTTTCTTGTAAATATCTCATGTAGGAAGTATCATCTTCATTTAGAATACTTTACCTTAGTTTTATGTAGAGGATACGAGGGTTGTTGTTAAGATAGTTTTATGGTTGTTTGAGGGCGTGCCAGCGGTGTGTGTGTCTGGGTAGGGAGGTGGAAGCTTGGCTGTACCAGTGTGCCCGGGTGATTGAAATTCGTCACCAGGATAGAGAAAATATTTGTGTTGTTTTATTAGGGAAAGATATTAAGAGTGGCCTGATATGGGTTTTAATAGGCGCCAGTCATTGGTGGTTCCAGTTCTGGTAGGCCCCGGTAATAGCCGGCCTCATTCCTAACCGGCCTCAGTCTTAAACGACCCAGTTTTAACCGGCTCCTATCCTAATCGGCCACAAACTTAACCGGCCCCCTCCCTAACTGGCCCCAATCCTAATCGACCCCAGTCTAAGCCGGCCACCGCCCTAACCGTCCCCAATCTTAACCGGCCCCCTCCCTAACTGGCCCCAATCCTAATCGACCCCAGTCTAAACCGGCCACCGCCCTAACCGTCCCCAATCTTAACCGACCCCATTCCTAACCGGCCCCAATCTCAGGTGGCAGGAATCAATTAGACAATGCGATGTTTGATGCTTCTGAAACACAAACTGTGAAGAGTTTTAATTAATACCAAGTTTTAAATGTTCTCTGATCCCGTTGAGAAAAACTTACTCTCGTCACGGAGTTTTAAATCATTCTTAAACTTGTTCACATCTTGCCTGTCTGTGTGTTGTTAAATCGTGCAATATATCGCTTGTGTGTGGTGTGTGTGTGTGTGTGTGTTTGTATGAATTTATACCACTATTACTACTACTACACACACACACACACACATACACTCACAATGGATCCACCAAGGTCTCGCTTAGCTCCTCCTCCTCCTCCTCCTCCTCCCACACATAGTGAACCTTGGCTAAACTACATAAATATTTTCGTTTCAATTCCCGAGTCATTTTTAATCCCACCCGAGAGTGTTGTAAATATTTAAATTATCCTCAGAGGTGACAGTCTCAACCCCCCCTCCCTCTTCCCCCCTCCCCCCCAGGTGATGAGAGATTCTACCCCCCAGGTGATGAGAGATTCTACCCCCTCTTCCCCCAGGTGATGAGAGATGAGATCCCCCCACGTCGTGATGAGAGACAAAGAAGGTGGTTTAATCTCTCTCTCTCTCTCAGTTGTCTTTCTATACCTAAATCAGAGACAAAGTTTTCTATTAAGAATTCTGAAGGTTTTCGTGTTGTGTTGTGTTGCGTTAGAGACTTTTTTGGTATGTGTTTATTCTATGTGTGATATTTATGTGTGTGCGTGTATATGTGTGCGTTTGTGTGTGTGGGGGGGAGGGTGGTGTTGTATTGTGTAAGGTGTACAGTACAGCGTGGTATATATATATTGTCTATGGTATAACACAGGGAGTTGTATTGTGTATTGTGAGTTGTGAAGCCTTTGTAATGTATTCTGTATGATGTATATAGCCTATTGTGTATTGTCTGTAGGGTATTGTATACGAGGAACGCCAAACTTCAATGGGCGGATGAAAGAAAACGGGGTGAGGTATAGAAGAATAATTCATAGAAAATGGAATTGGGATTTATAACGTTGGGTACTGGTAGTTAATATCTGGTAATTAAATGAACGTATCTAGTTATGGTAGAGTTTCAGTGTGTTAATGAGTTATATACCTGGTGTTAAGTGAACGTATCTAGTTAAGGTAGAGTTTGATAATAACTTTAATACCTTTTGAAAGTTAGTTTAATATTTTAGTTCAGCCAGTTAGATACATTTTCATATCATCAGTTACGAAAAAAGAGAGTACGATCTTTTGAGACTACACCAGGCACAGGCTCGTCACCGCCTCCGTCTACGACCCTAGCGATAAAACTCCTGCCAGGGAAGGTCGTCATGTGTGATCCTGCTCGGCTAACGTTCCTCTCAGGAGATCATGATGGTGTATGATGCCTGCCTCTAACAAGAACGACGAACGCCTAGGGTTGAAGGAATTTTTAAAAGCGAACCCTGAATCTCTCTCTCTCTCTCTCTCTCTCTCTCTCTCTCTCTCTCTCTCTCTCTCTCTGTCTGACCTTTCACGGGAAGGTAAATTCTATCCTGAGCTTCTATCATGTCCACGTGATTATTTTTTTCTTTTACCTGAAATAACGTTTTAATTTACACGAGAGAATCATTCAAAAAATACATTGACTTTTTTGTTCTTCTCAGGGAGATTGAAATACCTTTGAACCCTTACAGTACAATAAACTCTCTCAATAGCGAACATCTCAATTACGGATATTCTCAATAACGGAATCCTCTCAATAACGGACTGGGCTTGCAAGAATGATGAGAGAGAGAGAGAGAGAGAGAGAGAGAGAGGAGACTTGATAGTATAATATAAAAATCTCATGCTACTTTGCCTCTCAAACATAACATAACTTCCCCCCCCACACACACACACACACCACACACACACACACACACACACACACACGGTTAAAGGTCAATACAGCACTGACCTTGTCCATGTTTCAACACTACTTCAACAAGGAAGGTGACTCAGGATGGAACGGTTATCAGCTTTAGGGAGTAAGTTCTGACTATCTATCAGTGTCGTGTTCCCTGAGAGCACTTTGTTAATATTTGCTGGACGGTGAGAGGGAGTGAGTGGGAAGTGTGTGGTGAGAGGGAGTGAGAGGGAAGTGTGTGGTGAGAGGGAGTGAGAGGGAAGTGTGTGGTGAGAGGGAGTGAGAGGGAAGTGTGTGGTGAGAGGGAGTGGGGAGGTGAGGAGAGAGTGTGTGGTGAGAGGGTGGGGGGAAGTGTGTGGTGGAGGTGGGGAGGGAAGAGATGTGTGTGGTGAGAGAGAGGAGAGGTGTGTGTGAGGAGGGTGAGGAGAGTGTGTGGTGAGGAGAAGTGAGAGGGTGTGTGGAGGTGGGGAAGTGTGTGTGGAGGGAGGGTGTTGTGGGAGATGGCTTACACACACACACACACACACACACACACACACACACACACACACACACACACACACACACACACACACACACACACACACACACACACACACACACACACACACACACACACACACACACACACACACACACACACACACACACACACACACACACACACACTATTACACTGAGATACATAGTTTATTCTTTACCTCCATCAAAACAAAACAACAATATTTCCTCCCCTCTGTTTCACTCTTCTCTTGTCACACTGTTTCTATTAACTGTTATAAGCTTTCTATATACCGTACAGCTTTCTATATACCGTACAGCTTTCTATATACCGTACAGCTTTCTATATACCGTACAGCTTTCTATATACCGTACAGCTTTCTATATACCGTACAGCTTTCTATATACCGTACAGCTTTCTATATACCGTACAGCTTTCTATATACCGTACAGCTTTCTATATACCGTACAGCTTTCTATATACCGTACAGCTTTCTATATACCGTACAGCTTTCTATATACCGTACAGCTTTCTATATACCGTACAGCTTTCTATATACCGTACAGCTTTCTATATACCGTACAGTTTGTTGTATACATTCCCTGTGGCGGTGGTTAATGGTTATAAGATATATAGGTGAGGGAGGTGATGTTGTGGTCATTACCTAACCTAACCTAAACTAACCTAACCTTAGCCTAACCTGACCTGACCTGAACTGACCCAATTTAAACTTAATCTGATAAAACCTAACGTCAACTAACTTAAACTAAGTTAATCTAACCTAAACTAACTTAACTTAACCAAACTTAATCTAACTTAACCTAGCATGAGTATATTAATTGGACCAAATCTTGGGATAGAAAATCGATTTACTACACAAAATATTAACTACCTGTACCAATTAGGCCTCAAGATGATGAATTTGGCAGTAATTAGACTTTCCTTAATAACCAATGAGTGATGAGGGATATTAATTTAAATGTCATAATTACTGTAGGACTAATTACCCTATATTACCTTTACTGTGGCCAGATTTTTTAATTACTCGGTAAATTAATGGCTGTTGGTAATGACTTTTAAAAGGAAATAGATTATTTTACCCAATTTTAGCCCCCAAATAACTAATTCCCTTTAAAATCTCAATGTGGTTCCCTTTGGATATATTAATTAAGGAGCCGTATTTTGGGGGCTCTGGTTACGGGTCATGTTATGGAATATTAGTAAACGCACATCTAAACCACCTGTTCCCTCCCCATCCCCTTCACTCTCTTCCTTTTCCTCCCTTCTACCCCTTCCTCTTCCCCTTTACTCCCTTTATCCTTCCCTTAGCTCTAGCCACTTCCCCCCTTTCCTTCCATCATCCAGTCCTTCTCCACCTTCCTTTTCTTACTCTCCCCCTCCTCCTCCCTTCCCATTCCTTCAGGAGTCCCTATACTTAGATCACGATAGGGTCAGCCGGATGTCCCTACCGCCGTCCCTCTCCTCAACGCCATAACGCAGGAGAGGAACCCCCACCCCTCCCCCTCACGTAATGCCTCATGTTAACAAAGCCTTGGTCCCAGGTAATATATGGCCGTAACTCACACAGATGAATGTTGACAGATGAGTACCTCTTAGCGTTTAACTCTCCCTCTTATTTCTTAGCTTTACCTTGATTTACAGGCCAAAGACTTTAATTTTTTTTTTGAGGGGATACTACTCAAGATTTCTGGTGATTGTTTTTGTTTTGTTTCCTTTAAGGAGAGGTATTTTGTTGAGTTTTTTTTATGTTATTTATAAGTTGAAAGGTTTCTAAATCAATGGGTTTTTTTTTTTTTTGCTCTTTTACTTTTTTGGAAGGATGAAACACGACATTAT